TAGAATTTCAGCACTCCTTCAGGTTGAATTGTGATATCTACTCCAGAATGCTTTGCTCTGTAACCAGGGACAGTGGTAGGTGGCAGGAAAGCATGCACCCCACTTTTCCTTTGCCTCCTCCCACCAGAGAAAAGGGATCCTATACATAACCCTCTTTATAAGGACATCAGCTGTTGTGTCTCCATCCCATTCACTCACCCCACAGTCCATTGTTCCCCTAACTATCCCAAAGTGGTAAAAATCTGTGGAAGGTAGGTTGATGAAGCCAGGGAATAAATGGTGCAGTGATCCAGAGGAGATGCTATGAGGGCAGTCAGGTCTGCCTGGCCTGTTTCTGATTGCTATTTCTTCCTCAGTTACAAGTGAGAATCTCCACACTCATATCTTTCTTTGTTCTCCCACTTGCCTACCTGGAACCTCCAGGCTCAGAAGATAGAGTTCAGTGTTCTCTCCCTCCTGGTGGAATGGATTATCCTCATACTTGGCAACTGGCAGCAAGTAAATATTTGATTTGTCATACTGGCTATAAATGTAATAGAACTTTGTAAGCAAATATATCTGGATGAGTTATAAAAATTAGACTAAATCCGGATAGGTTCACTATAGCACTGATAACAACCTATGATGTCATGGAGATGAAGGAAAGTCCTCCTCTTTCTAGTGAGAGTTTTAGGATTTTTCTTTCTTTGGGTTGAGAAATGAGTTTACTTTTTCTGGACTAGGAAAACAAGGTTTAATATTATCAAGTATTAAAGTTAAATTATTCATCCATTCTTGGATAATACCAGTTGAGAATCTGAAAGACTCTTAATTGTCTTGACTTTATATGTCAATTGTTTTACTACCACTTTTAATTTTATTTTTAATAAGGAAAATGGGTCAGAGGAATTTTAAGTGGCACGATCAATGATAGATGTCTGTTGATGGATTATTAGCAAATGTTGTAATTAGGAATTGGAGATGGAAAGAATAACAGGAAGAATGGTGGCTACAAAATGTGCTGCAGACATTGAACACTCAAGGCCAGCTGGCAAGAGGAGTATGGCTACCCTGATCTACCCCCACTTCACTCCTATCTGAGATTTCAAAGGAGCAGATATCAGTAATTTTACTTTCGTCTGAATTGATTTCAATATGTTATATTTCTCTGAGTTATCAGCTCTGCCATCCTATCCCTCTATATTACTCATGAATTAAAGTTCAGAGGGTTCTTAGGCATTTTATTAATCAGGGCTTTATAGAGAACAGAACCATTAGGAAACACACACACACACACACTTATTATGAGGGATTGGCTCATATGATTATGAAGGCAAAGTAGTACCATAATCTACTCTGTGAAAGATGGAGGCCCAATGGTATAGTATACATTCAAGCCTAAAGGCCTAAGAACCGAGAGCCAATGGCAAAAGTTTCCATCCAAGTCCTAAGGCCTAAGAATCAGGGAATGAATTGTGTGAGTCATGGTGTCAGTCTGAAAGCCTGAGAACCAAGAGTGCCAAAGTTTCAGCTCCAGCAGGAAGAGAAGGTGGCCCTTCGTGGACCTTTTAGTTGTATTTGGGCTCTCAATGGATTTGATGACACCCACTCACAGGAGTGAGGGTGATCTTCTTTACTCAGTCTACCAATATAGATGCTAATCTTTTCTGGACATGCTCTCATAGACATATCCAGAAATAATATTTTACTAGTTATCAGGGCACTCCTTAGCCCAGTTAAGATGATGTGTGAAATTCACCATTACAGCACCCCTATCTAGTAACAGAAGAGAGAAGGAATCAGATTCTCAGTGTGCCTGAAATCATGTTGCTTATGTGCTCAGTATTTTATGTTCCCAGGGAAGGAGGAGAACAGGGAAAAGAAAAAGGAAATCTGACAATCTAAGAAGAACATGGAGAAGAAGAGAACTGAAGAAAAGGAAAACAGGAAGGCTCTGGAGTGATTTATACAGACTTATTATTGAAGAATAAAATAAACCTAATTTAAAGGTGTTTCATGCCCTTCCTCTTCATTTGTTCATTTTTAGTTACTTAGATCTTGACTTATTCCAAAACAATTTAAGGCAGCATAGAAATAAAAACGTGTGTGCAGTAAAACACAAAACATAAAAATAAAATAAACATCTCCCTTTCCAAACAAGCATACTCCTCTGTCCATCTCCTCATAACCTCTTGCACTGGCTTTCCACTAGAATAGCAGCATATAGACTTTATCCCATCCAAAACATCATTTCCTAGGTTTCTGAAAACATATTATGTAATTCATAGAATATATTTTTGTAAAAGCAACCCTAACAAGAAACAAAACAAACCAAACTAAACAAGCCAAAACAAGTCCAAGGAAATTTTCTACTGTATGCTTTGGCAAACATCTCTCTGCTATGAACAAAATTTATATAATGTTACAATATATGATATTGGATAAAAATATTTAGCAAGTCCTGAAGTAACACCACAAGCCTCAAAAGCATTAATGCACCTAGAACATTGAGAATAAAGCATTAAAGGAAACCCGGATTAAGCAAAATATGCAATTGTTAGCCATCACACATTCTATTAAAATTGCTGTCCATCATAACAAGTTTGGAAAATAGCAATAGTGATCATTAGAATTTAAAAATCTTAGGATTTTTTTCCTCATGATTTCTTCCTTAATCATAAAAATAAAATAAACATCTCCCAGAAATGGCCAAAACCACATCATAAACATTTAAGATTCTGGAGAAACAAACACAAGTAAAAAAAAAAAAAAAAAAAATATATATATATATATATATATATATATATATATATATATATTCCTTTGAAAAGATCTATTTCATGTGAGAAAAATGGCCACTTTTCATATTATATATATTTAAATAAATGTCCTTTTTTGCTTGATAAAAAGGACATCATATTAATTAAATTTGAAGAAATGTTCAAGGGTTCCATTACCAGAAAATCAATTTAAAACCCCAAATTTTCTAAACATTTACGTTTAAATTTAAATAAGAATATTACCTTGATCAACATTATAGTCAACATTTTTCATGGTAAGAAAACACATTTAATTCATGAAACATTGTTCTAGATGATTTTTTAAAAATTTTGGCTATTAACTTGATCAATAGTATAGCAAATTAATAAAAATGAATTATATAATCTGTTATTAGGACCTACTTATTGTCAAGCACTTCACTTGTTTAATTAGTTAATTCATTTTATGTTTATCTCATGCTTATCAGGGCATTACTATGCCAGAAATAAAAGGTAAAAGTGTAATACAATAAAATAACTGCTAGAGTTATACAATATAATAGTTATTGAAGAAACACACTTTTGGGGAAGAAAAGATATGCAAGATATAACTTGCATGTTCACTAAGTTATTTTCTAACAGAAAAAATATTAAGCATGAAGAGATTTGGCAATTTCACTCATAGTGAAATATGCTATCTTGTACAATGTGTTTCCTAATATTCTTAAGATTTTTAATTACTAGAAAATAATGCCATGTGGTATGGCTAGGTTCCCTTATATCCAGAGAGAAGTAAAAGTAGGCTGCAAGCTTATAGAAAGTATAGTGATGATAGTTTTTTGAGCTTGTTTCTGAAAGAGAAAATTACCAAAAATTCTAATACAAGGAATGTACTAGGAATATCATAGGTATGACATCTTAAATGATATACTGCTTCTGTCTAATTAAATACCTAAGTTTTAGGGATAAAGATGAATTCATTTAATGAGTTCATCTCTGAGTAACAGAAATGATACTTTGGATCTTTGAAGGTGGATAACACACACAAAAGATTTATTTTGCTTTTTTATTTTTTTTTACAAGGGAATAAAGGCATTTATTGTCTTTACTCTTTAAATAGACAGAATTCTATTGAATGATGTTCTCAAAATATTGCCTGTTTCAACTTTTATTATAACTTCTCATCTTCTCGTAACTTTTAAGTCTACAGGAAAAGGACTAAATACAAAACCCAATCCCTAATGTTCACTTTTAAGTATAATATTTTGCTATGATTCTAGTCAATAAATAAAAAATGAACCTGAAAAAAATGTATATATAAACTCTGTAAGTTATGCCTCCAGGTGAATTCAACTATCAGACATTGTACAAAAATGAATGGATTGTCAATAGGGTAGTGTGTTGGTTATTTACCTTGTCTCTCCAACACAAAATCATGACTATGTAATCAAGTTTCCATGAAGACCTACAAGAACAGGGTATGGAGAACTTCTGGATAGCTCAGCATATGGAAATTCCAGGAGAGGGGTGTGCCCAGAGAGATTATGGAAGCCCCTGGCCCCATGTACCTCTTCCATTTGATTGTTTATTTGTATTCTTTGTAATATCCTTTAAAGTAAGTGTGTAAGCACAGGAAAAATGATTTGTGGAATTCTGTGTTTTCCTGGCAAAGTGACTCAACCCAAGAAGGGGTCACGGGAACCCTGATGTGTGGCTGTCAGTCAGAAGCACAGGTAAAATAATATGAAATTTGTGGTTGGCTTCTGAAATGGATGGGACTGAAGTCTCAACCTGTTGAATCTGATGTATTTCCAGGTATATAGTATCAGATCCAAACTGAATTACAGGAAGCCCAGCTGGTGTCTGGTGGAAAATTAGTCAGAATTGTTGTTTAGTGTGTACATAAAAACCTCCGCATATTTTAGTGACCAGAAGTCACAAAGTATTCTGTGTTGGTTATTGTGTGATTATAGGAAAAGCACCTTAGTTTATTTTTCCTATCCACATAGTTATCTTAATTTTAATAAATTTATAGATCATGGTTTTCTTATTAGTATTTTTTTGTGGATTGTAAGAATATTTTTCTTTTTAGTTAGAAGTTTCTCCCTAGAGTCAAGGTAAAAATTCTGATAATACACATCAACTATTTTCTGATTTTAGCAAAGTTAAGGATCAACACATTTTGCTAAATCACACAAGTGATATGAGGCCATTTCACAATAAAAGTGAGTTTCCTTGAGAGAGTAAGGTATTAGGACTTACCCCTGTCTGTGTCATACAGGAAGACAAAACAGTTCCATTCATAGTGATCCAGCAGACTCAGGAGTGCTCCTCGCAATGAAGGTCTTAGCTGCAGCACAAACTGGCTCTCCCCCTCAGTAGGGAAACTTGGTGTGATGAGGGAGATGTGTAAGGCGCTGCAGAACGAGGTCAAGGTATGTACTGACCTCTTATCATAGAGTCCAAAAATGGCAAATACTCCTCTAGAATACTGGGAACAGACTGGAAAAAAAAAAAAAACACAAAATATTAGCATACTTTAAAATTGTTGACTTTGTATCTATATCCTACAAAATTTAAAAATCACTGAATCATTGATATGTTAGCAATATAATACAGAGTAAAATTAAAGTGTTCAATTAATTAATTTTTTGTTCTTGTACGCAAAACCATGTATTGAATGAAGCTGATCTGATTGAAAAGTCCTCTATTAAAAAGCCCTTTTGAGGGCTGGGGTTGTGACTCAGCAGTAAAGCACTTGCCTAGCACATGTGAGGCCCTGGGTTCGATCCTCAGCACCACATAAAAATGAATAAATAAAAAGCCCTTTTGAATTAAAGGGAAATATAATTAAAATGAGGTAATATATAGCCTTCTGTGATAATGTAGCAGATCCTATGGTAGAGATTTTAAGTGTGATAAATCCAAATGTTTCTCTATACTTTTTCTGTTGCCTGAAAAATATAATGAACTTTTGGAATTTTTGAGTATTAATTGAAGAAACCTTTAAATTATCTTCTTCCTAAGCTATATGCTCATCTTCTCTATTCTTGGATTGGGCAACATTTGTTGACAACTAAATTGTTATGTTTTTCTGCTTTTGTAATCAGTTTTATTTTTATCACAACCTTAGAATTGTCTTGTATCATTTTTGAAAACAGAAGTTGGATTTTTGGGAAAGTCACTCTTAGGATATCTGAGTGGTTTAGTGAATCTGGGAGAACTGCATAGCTATAGCACAAAGACAAAGCAATTCTAAAACCCATTAGACCAAGACTGCCTGAGGAAGAGAAGCAGAGGCAAAGCAGTGCACGACTTCCCCTGCCTTTCTGCACCCTCTGGTTGTTACAAGGACAATGAGGCAACATCACAGAAAGGCTCTGCTCTATTCCTGTCCAATATATTTTGCTCACTCTTGACATGGCTGATTTCAGGAACAAACTTGGGTGACTTTTTCTGGTTTATTTTTAAAAGGCATAGATCTAAAATAGGGGATCCCTGTTTTTGTGTTCACACAGAAAAGCAAGAATGGATTCCAAATTCTTATAATTCTCCTTGTATGGCTAACTAACACTCATATTTCTCCTCAGTTTATATAGCTAGCTTAAGAAGTATTTAGTGCTATAAAATTTTTGTGTTTGGACTTTAGTTGCTAGTTTTAATTGTTAAATTTATTATGAAGCCCAGAGCATTGGATAAGCTAAAGGTACTTATTTTAGTGGAAGTTTATTATGATATAAATAAATTTTTCTTAAAACAGGCACTTGCAAAAATTATCTTAATAGCATTTAAATCTATTTTGTACAATATTTGGGTTTTAGGAAATTATAAAGCATAATTAAATGCAGATAATTTACTAAAACCTAGAGATTTTTCTTTCATTCTTATTTATTATGCTTCTTGAAATTGCAGAAAGAGTCTAAGCATTCTAATTATGACATGTACTAGAAATGTTTTATATATATTTTGAAGCCTACATAAAGGACCCAAGTCTATATTCAAGTGGATAAGACAAGGAAGAATGATATAATGAGAGCAACTAAGAACAGAGCAGGGAGGAAGAGCAGGAAGAAAAGATTAACATTAAACAGATAGATGAGGTGGGATGGAAAGGGAGAGAAAAGGGAAATTGCATGGTAATGGAGGGAGACCCTCATTGTTATACAAAATTACATATAAGAGGTTGTGAGGGGAATGGGAAAATAAACAAGGAGAGATATGAATTACAGTGGATGGGGTAGAGAGAGAAGATGGGAGGGGAGGGAGGGGGGATGGTAGAGGATAGGAAAGGTAGCAGAATACAACAGTTACTAATAGGACATTATGTAAAAATGTGGATGTGTAACCGATGTGATTCTGCAATCTGTATTTGGGGTAAAATTGGGAGTTCATAACCAACTTGAATCTAATGTATGAAATATGATATGTCAAGAGCTTTATAATGTTTTTAACAACCAATAAAAAAAAAAAGATGGAGAAGAAGAAAATTTTGCTAAGTTCAAATCCTAATATTATCACTTAAAAGCCAGATGATTTGGTGTAAATTATCTTATTTGCATTAACTATGAATACATAATGTGGAAAGAATTAAATGAGAATATGTAAACTTGCTATCATGAGGTCATATGCAGCAATCAGTAAATGGCAGATTTTAGCACAAATTGTATGCATTATTATAGTTTAAGTATTTCTGTTGTTTGATGAGAAAGTAAAAGTAATTGAAGATAGATTACTACAGTTGATTTAAAGTCAAGAAAGGAGATTTCAGAGTCTATATAACAAATGTAATTTATTTTGGTATTGTAGTAGAATTTATAAAGAAGTCTATCAAAACATCCAGTCTAATTCTATGAATTATAATTTGGAACTAGAATTAGGAACTAGAATTTGATCACATGGGTGGTTTGACCAATTAGGAAGGCTTGTTCTGACAGTTTGGCTGTAGTTTCTTGCAAGATACAAGGATCAATCATAATTTAATCATTAGGCATCTTGAGGTTTAGTGTGATTCATTTCTTGTAACATAAGAAAGCCAGTAAACCATTGGCAGGATCAAACTCTAACTTCACGAATACCCCACCTCGGCTTTGGGTGTATTATGCAAATGCTGTGCATATAAGTTGTAACCTGGAGTTACTAAACTCTTTCATATTTTCTTGTTGTCTGGGTTTTCATGCAAATTGTGAGTCCACTTTTAATCTCTACATGGTAAATAATCTGATTCAGTTAATTCATTTGTTTTGGGGTGATAACCACTGAACCCAGAGTCTCATGCATGCTAGGCTGGCATTCTATTACAGAGCTATCCTCCCAGCCCCAGGTTCAAAGGGTTTTTATTTTACTCTACTGAATAAAGTAAAGTCAAAGAGCAATAGAATTCAAATCTAAGATTCTGGCTTTCATTTAGTACTGAAAGTACACACAATCTTTAACACTTGTTCAAGAAAATGTAAGCAAACAGGATTCACAAATCATGTACATTAACTTGCTCATGAATAGAAAAAAAGCATTTGCACAATCTTGTCTGCTATGGTACTTTAAAACCATACTAGTTTCATGCTTTGTATTCCACACAGTGTTTTTCTAGGAATCGTAGGAGGTCCCCAAAAGAATCTGTACAGCTCTCCATAGGCCCTGTTGGACAAAATAATAGCATTTGTGGCCAATGCTGGACCCCCTTCCTTGGTGCCCCTCTTACCTCTAAAACACTTAACAGCTGTTCTGCTTTCATCTTTTGAAAATATTAAGCAAATGCCTATGTACAATTTTATATATAAAAAGTATTAAGTACTAAATAAAGTTCAAAAGCAACTAATATGCTATGCAAAAAGTCCCTCTACTGCTTATTCCTATTTTCAATCTAATCTTTATGGCTTCCCACTTTTCTGCTGCTCACTATATTACTTATTGCAGTTTACTCTTCTGGGACTCAACAAATTTAATATTTTCTGATATTTAATCACCGTTTGTTTATCTGTCTTCATTTGCATCATCATACATATTTATTTTTCTCTTTTTCATAGCTATCTGCCATTCTGCTACTATTTTTTATACTTATTTTGAAAATACACTAATGTCTCAGACTACATAACATTGCTTTTGGATGTATTCTGTCACTCACATTTTATTTTCCCTCTGCAAATTTCTAGTCATAACATCATTCTTTCAGACTTTTATTTTTGCTATTTAATCTCAATCCCAGGCTTGGCGGGTGAGGGTTATTGAGTTTTCTGTGCCTGAGAATAGGTTGTCATTAAAACGTTCAGTGTTATTATCTTCATGTGATACCCTGAACAATATTTTATTTGGTCCAATAGTTTCAAATTTTAAAGTATAATTATTTCCATATTTATTATTGTAATCTAGCTTTGAAAGCACTCATAAATCAAAATTTTGTTGGACATCTCTTATGTCATCTCTGGTTGCTTAGCACGCAAGTAATTGTTCAAACAATGGAATTTATTAGACTATACAAAAGTACACATAAATTAATGAAAATAAACAAGGGTAAATATGAATGTGGTCAGAATATATAAAAGGAAAACAAACTGAATTTTAACATTCTCACATAAAATGACAAAATAAGGCAGAATTAATGCTTAGTCACTGAGTAGATGCAATATTAGATTGATATGTATTTTGGGATACAAACGTTAATCAGGATAAAGCTTTCAATGAACTAATCCAATCATAATTTTAAGTGTCTACTCTATATTCTGCTTCACTAATGAGATCACTTGGATCATGTATTATGTAAATAAACACATAATATAAACACATGGAAAAATTCATTCATCTTTCACCTGATGGTGTCAATTAATTATGTCTTCTCATCAGATAATCACCCAGTTTCATTCCATATGCCATATTCCAGATCTTAACTAAGTCAAATTATTATATAATTTGTGACTTGTAGTTCTATATCACATACAAATAAATTGGCATGGTCTTAGCTCGGTATGTCCCCACCTGTGGCACACAATCCCAGAGGTGTGCTGAATTCAGTATGCCCACTGCAGAGTGGCACAGTGGTCAGAAAGAACACAGTCCACTTCTCCTTTGTCTTCAATTTTCCTCCCCTTAATATATTTCTCTAACTCTTTCTTAAACTTAATTCTTTCATTTTTTTTACAAGAATACACAAAACTTTTTAACCCTATGCTTCCTCTCTCATAGCCTTTGCAGTCCCTTTAATTGAAGGAATTTTATATTCAGTTTTTTTAACTCATGTGATGCCTACACTTCTCAGCCACCTAAACCACTCTCTGCTGAGAGCCATTGCCAAGTAGGAATGACACATCGCAATTTCTTTGTCAGCCTACTCCATGTTGCTTAGAGGAAGGACTCTCCATGGTGGACCCAGGTTTTGCAGTGACTTTGCATGAAAGGTGACCTTGCTCAAGGACCAGGGCGGATCCGGGTTTAGGGTAGATCAGGGTTTAGGGTGGATCGGGATTTAGGGTGTTCCCGGGTTTAGGGAGGTTCCAGGTATAAGGTGTACC